ATAATTAACAATTACTCTTTGAAATCGAGGTGAATAGTGGCAAAATATTTACCGAGCCACGAAGTGGCGAGGTAAATATTCCTAAAGCCACTATTCACCGAGATTGAAAAGAATAATTGTTTTAGTATATACACACGAAGTGATCTCAACAAAACCATTACAGCGGTTACCACTAACACACGCCTTTGAAGGGTTTTTTGGTCTGTTTAAACCTCAGTTTTCGTAAACGTCAATCATCTGTTTCCATGGTTTTCCACGCGCTCTGACAGAGAAGCAGGAGAAGGTTCCCTCATCGCTGAATGAAGGGCGAATCATTTCGAACGACGACGGCTTTTTAAATTATTTTATTAAGATGAAGGATTACATTGTTAAAACAACGAGGTCTCTGCGAAGTCAGTGAAATAGCCGAAACATTCTCTATAGTTTACGTAACGGTTTTCAGGTTTTTTATTTACTATGTATGAAAACACGGGAGCCGTGGATGACTGAATTGCCAAGAAGCTAGTATAAATTCAAAGAAACAAAAGATATCACACCGAAAAGAGAAAAAGTTTCCTCTGAATGGAGGCTGTTTTCGAAAATGAATTTTACTACTTATCATTCTTCATGTTATCGAACAGAAACCAGAACTAGCAAGAACTCAGACGAGTTGCGAGCGATTGAGAAAGCTTATGTGGTTGTAACTTACAGTGTGTAAATATGTCGATAATTTGAGTTTCCTCCGAGAAACACTCAACAAATTCTTTCTCCTCGTAATCTTGACATGAAGCGGTGTCAGATCCTGCAGCAAAATATTGCAAAAACGGCTGAAACGCCGACATATTCTTCCGAGTGCTCAAGAAACGGAGAGAGAATCTTCTCTAGGCCAACGCGTGAAAAACCACGGTAACGGTTGATTAACGTCCACCAAAAGGCAGGTTTGAACTGAAGAAAAAACCCTTTGAGGGCGCGTGTTAGTGGTAACCGCTGTAAAAAGTACAATTTGATTGACAGATCAGGTCAGCTAGACACGCGACAGTTTAAAAATAGATCTCCGTAGAATTTTCAAACATGGCATTTCACAAGCTTATCACTTCGCAAACAACAGCGTAATGACTTAAATGGAACAGCTAACAGTTTGAATTGTTTCCTTACCTGAGAAGAAAAGAAGAGCTTTGTTGTTTTCTGTTGACTCGCCAAGTTTATAGCCGAAAAGGTTTGTTGTGTCGTCCTTCGCATGAAGTGCTGACAAAACTGGTGATTCGGTTCCTCGAGGTAAGACGCCGTCTTCATGTAGCATTCTTTCTCACGTTTACTTGAAACGTAGAATTTCTGCAAACATTTGCTTTCAAATTTGTTTGTCATAAATAAACTTCGTTTTTGGGCCAAATTAAATTGCTCTTGTTAGGAAACGCTGAGTTCACGAAACGGCCTTTTCTAGGCTAATAAACGGGAGTTGTAAACAATCCATCGACCACAAAACTCAACAACAGTAGATGGAAAAACGCCGTTTGAATCCTTCGAAGTCTTTTCTTGCCTGAAAAAAAGTCAACCCTAGGATTTTGTCGACTTTTAAAAGATCTTTCTCTAAGAAAATGGGAAAAAAACCGAGCGCACTCATTATCCACTCGCTAGGAGGTGAATATTGTTGAATAGTCCGAGATAGCGAACCAATCAGATTGCTTAAATCACCAAGATCACTGAGTGTGTATATACTAATTGTGTATACGCGACGCTGGAGTTAGCCTGCGTGCAGACGATAACTAAACTCTGATTAGTACCGTCTGCGAAGCAGCGCAGAGATCCTTGTTCTGGGCCCCCAACGGACTCAACGAATTACCGGAAGTGCGTTTCGAATTCCCCTTCAACCTGATTGGCGATCACGACAAACAAAACAAAGCCTTTTTTAACTGGCCAATCGTGGCGCGTACTCAAATCTGGGTACACAGCTGGAAGTCCAGAACAAGGATTTCGGCGCTGTTTCGCAGACGGAGTTAACCAGAGTTTAATTTCGTCTGCGCGCAGGCTACGCTGGAGTCAGGACATCAAGAAAGATATCTGGAATGCTATCAGTTAATTTATTTCTCATTCTACGTATAATTAAGGCAGCATATTTTTTATTTATATAAATTATTACCAGAACCAAACGCAAACTGCCTAAAAGACCAATACAGGTAACAATTTTTACATAAGGATCTTGTAAGAACGTTTGTTTTGAAGTTCTACAAAGTTGATTTTCGTAAACTTTATTGCAAGTTCATTCTGGTTATAATTTTTTTTTTAAACCTTAACAGATCAACAGGGCGGTGTTCAAGGATTTAAATGCTTATAAAATCACGAACTAAGACAATTTTGCTATCAGGTGCGTCTTTGGGGACATGTGTGGTCAGTCAAGTTGGCTGTTGGGCTCTTGAGACTTCTTCAATGAAGATCCGGGACATTGTGGTCCAGCCTGTGTATGCGTCAGCAAGTGCATGGCCATTATTGCAGTTTCCAACCCAAAATCCCACTCGCAATTTTCCCTTGTGAATGTCATTGCCGTGTCCTTCAATGTGACGGTCACGGTCCTGTAAAGGTTTTTGCCCGGCGCTGTTGTTGCCATATAGTACGCTCCATCAATTCTACTAGGAGAGCTACACTCAGCGCCACTGAATGTGAAATACCAACGACTGCAGCACTTGTCACAGGAAGCAATGCGAAGGTTACCAGCGAAATAGACATAGAGAATCGTTTGTGTATAATTCTTCATGAACTGACAGCTCTGCCGTAAGGAAAGTAGAACCAGTGACATGAGTGATATCAAAGTAATGTGAGATATAGTTGAGACAGCAAACCTTGAGATCCTTGGTCATGGGTTTATAGAACGAACTCGAAAAACAACTGAAAAATTTAAAGTTCTTTTAACCTGTTCCAAAAACCCCCGAGGTAATTTAAAAAGAACACTACTTTGAGCAATTTATACCATTTTGGCATAGTGCATTTTCAGATAATCTTTCCTGCACCATATTTCCAACACTAAGGTAAGTTCAGAACACTAAAATGTCTCATACCAAGTTATACTCTGAAGTATTAACCTCTACTGAGTTATCAAGAGGAAAAAATTCACGTGAATACGCTTGACAAATACTTTTATATCAAGCAACTGAAAACAGCTGTATAAATGAAGAAAATTGCTTTTAATTAAACAATGTTTTAGTATTTAAACGTGTTTCCAAAAAGAAGACCAAATTAGTTGTATGGTAAATAAGGGCTGTATACATTCTCAAAAAGTGTAAACTTGACATTTATTATTCATAGGTTTATCTATTTCATTTGTGTGAATAAAGCCAACGAATTTTTCCTTCAGGGTTGTAGAGTAAGGATTGGAAAGCTCATACTTCCCCACTTAGTCAAACTCAGCCATACATAAATACTTTTGTGAAACTAAAATCTCGGATCAGCGAATTTCAATGACAGAAATATAATCATTGCTGGATCAACATACCGACCTTGGTTCTCTATGTATAGAAGTCAGTCTCTCAAATCTTTTGGCATGCAATAATGAGAATGTAGAATGCGTTACAACATAGATATCGAAACGGGAATTGGCTAACCCCCTTAAAGCGAGAGCATGTAACTTAAAATGAAATTTGGGAGACTTTATGCAGTTGAATGTAAAAGAACTGAATTTTTTTATCTCACAGATTAGGAATGTCCCCTTGAACTATGGCTTCGTGACTGAACGGTTCTTGAATGAGCGGTTTAAATTAAAAGTGAATAATATTAGACTAGGGATTTCCTAGTGAATAATAGTACACTAGGAACACTATGAGGTAATTTAAAAAGAATACTACTTTGAGCCATCACGTCTGGGCAGGGTGCTCCAGTGAATCCCGGAAGTCCATTTACACCAGGAATACCATCACTACTCGGTTGCCCATCATTGCAGCATATATATATCTTAATCTAATAATCATAGGTAAAAACAGTTGAAAAAAGACTGCTGCATGGCTGGTTGACTGCAGAGTCAGTTCAGTGGTAGCTTTTTTTGTGTTTCGCCATTTTCTATTGAGATCTTTGTCTCTCGCTCTCTTTTTTTCCCAACATCTTTCTTTTTTAAAGTGAGCTTTTTCTCATTTTATCTCCTTTCTTTCGCACTAAATTTTAGCTGGGTACCTTTATAGGAAAGGGACAGTGGCAGTGGATTTTTTTTCTAAAATGTTATTTCGTTTTTGTGTCTATTTATGTCAGGATTGGTCGGAATTTCCAAAACGAGGTATCCGGAGAAATATCTGTCCTTGCTGACGTCGCTACTTGCCAACTTAGCTTAAACTGAAGGCTTAATGGCTCCAGGAAAGAAAATATACATCGTTCCAAATTGAACGAAGGGTTTAAACACAATAGAGTGCTGTTACGGTATATACGTTAGACCACAGTGTGAGCCATGCACCTTTTTTCTATTCCACTCCAATCCAGCTCATTGGCTGATGAAGAAGTTGCGCGCGCCAATGGGGAGTACCGTTCACAACTTTTATAGCACAGGCTACCTTAAGTGACTGTTTCTGGGAACACCGTTTTCTTCTGGTAACGATAACTTTTGAAAGCTACGAGAACTATCTGTTTTTCAACCTAAATGCAACGCGATGAATTCAACCTTACTCAGGAGAGAAAGAGGGAAATTCGTTTTTGGACCCTGTTAAATACAATAGCCTTTAAAACTTCTTATGGATTCCTTTTAATGGATTTCATAATAAATCAACACAATTCTATCTTCTTCCCTCCCTAATTAGAGAGAATGTAATAAGTTGCTAAGTTGAAAAGGCAGCAAGTGATGTATTAGTCCGTCGAAAACAAGCATTTTCTAGCAATGAGAGATCAGCACAAACACAATATTTGAAAGCATCCTGCATTTTTTAATAAATTATGCTGACACCGTTAGTTACTTATACTATCACGATCTATATGATCCATCTGCTATTAACCTATAAAACTACACTCTTCATTAAACAGCTTTTGCTTTAAGGAATGTTTTGCCTCGACATTTAGGCCTGAGACTTAGGAACTTCTTCAATGAAGATCCTGGAAACAGATTGCCAGCCCGTGTAGGCGTTACCAGGTGATCCATCTCGACAATTACCAACCCAAAATCCCACGCGCACCGTTCCTTTGTGAATGTTGTTACAATGCCCCTCAATATGGCGGACGCGGTGGATGTTTTGAGTGTTGCCTTGCCACATGTACACAATACCGTCAATGGGTAAGGGAGCTGAACACTCTGCGCCGTTGAAACTGAAGTACCAGCGTTTGCAACAGGCTGTACACTTGTAGATTCTTAGCGCACCAGTCCAGGCAACGTGAAGAGCGGTGTCAGAAAAGTTCTTGGTGAAGACACAGTCCTAAATATGACGGAAATAAACAAAGAATGGTTAAATCGCTTGGGTATAATAACATAAAAGCAGAAAAGATAAATGGGGACCAAGAGTTCTTGTAACTTTACCTTTATTAAACCGCTGTCTTTGTCATCGTTTAAATCTTTCCAAGCGCACTCTTTCCAGTTCTTAAAGGGCATTAAACCTTGTCCACGCTCTCCTTTTGGACCAGGTGGACCCCTGTACACCAGGCTCCCCCTTTAGCTCCATCTTTTCCATTTACACCAGCAGGTCCCCGAGGCCCAGTCTTTCCCGGGCTTCCCGGGTCACCTTTCGAGTCCTTCTCGGCCGTCACGTCCGTCACGGCCTGGAAACCCTTGCATGCCTGGAATACCACCACAACAGGATGGAGGAGATTTCTG